GCCGGTTGTATAAAAAAGTGATTAAAGTTAACTATAGTTAGTGGAAATGTCATCCAATAAGAAGCGCGTATTTGAGAGTTAATCACTATTTAACTACAAAATAGTGATTAAAAAGTGATTAAGAGTTTTATACAACCGGCCCCAGTTCGCTTTGCCCGCACGGGTGGAGCGACCAAATTTAATCACGTGAAAAATCGTGAAAAATTAAATTCGTCGTTTGAAACGAAACCATTTTAATGTTGACCAATTGACGAATTTAATATCGTCTGAATTAAATTCGACGCATGAAACAGGCCTCAGTAATGAAGTTAATGAGCATGAAGTCTGCAGCTGACGCCGGTTTTTGTCCAACTCTGAATAAATGACAATGCTCGAAGCAACTCGTCTGGCGCAAAAAATATTATTACATTAATTACAAATTTCGTATTAAAATTAATCTTTTACAACAAATATCAAATAAATAGTTTAAAATTACGATTAATTTAAAAGATGTATATCGTTCGTACAAAAAGTCCACACTTATCCCCCGCCATGTTCAAGTAATTACAATGTTTTTGTTTTCGTCTTTTTTCTAGAAAATGGGGACATGAAAAAATATAAATTTGAAGTGAAAACTAAACTATTGATAATTCAAGAAGGTTTTGTCGTCGTCGTTGCTGTCGCTATATCGCTGTCGCTGTTGACGTTGATGATGTTGATTTCTTTTCGGTTGTTGTTGCATGTTTTTACTGCTGTTGTTATTAGTGTTACTGCTGCTACTGTTGTCGTTGTTGCATTGCTGTTGTTGATGTTGCTGCTGTTACTGATATTGTTGTTGTTGCTATTGTTGCTGCTTTGTTAATATTATTGTTGCTGTTTTCGCTGTTGTTATTGCCGTTGCTGCTGTTTTCGTTGTCGTTGCTATTGTTGTTTTCGTTGTTGTTGCTGCTGTTGTCGACGTTGTTGTTGATAATGCTGTTTTCGTTGTTGTTGTTGTTGTTGTTTGGTGGTGTCGTTGTTATTGTTGCTGCAGCTGCTGCTGTTTTCGTCGCTGTTGTTGCTGGACGTCGAAGACGACGTGAAAATGGCGTGGCATATATATACATACATGGGCACAAGACGCCATTTTCACGTCGTCCTTGACGTCCGCGTCCTCGATCTAAATCGTTGCTGCAGCTGCTGCTGTTTTCGTTGCTGTTATCGTTGTTGTTGTTGTTGTTGTTGTTGTTATCGTTGTTGTTGTTGTTTTTATTGTTGTTGTTGTTGTTGTTGTTGTTGTTGTTGTTGTTGTTGTTGTTGTTGTTGTTGTTGTTGTTGTTGTTGTTGTTGTTTTCATTACTTTGCTGTTTTCGTGGTTGTTGTTGTTGTTGTTGCGGCTGCTGTTGCAGTTTCCGCAACAATTTCCCAACGGATACATCCAAACAAACAACAAAAACATACTTTGCCTTTCTTTGTTCAATCAAGGTCTGAAGTTGATACTGTTTTTCTCGGAACTCAGCATCCAACATCATCATCTTGTTCACCGAGGGTTTCCCTTCATCCGGAACACTGATATGTGACGCTTCTTGACCAATCCGCGTTGAGATTTGTGCCATTGCATTACGAAGGTCGTGAATATTGGTATACACATCCTCATCTTCGTCCTAATTTGGACACAGATGTATGAACATTACGCTCCGTTCACAAGGAACAATACTATACCAAGTCATTACCCCTCTTGAAGTGTGACAGTTTTTGTCCTGGCTTTAATCGCTTGCATTTGCATTCGTGGTCCCAGGCCCTGCTGCGTTATCTAGCAGAGCGATAAAGCGTATCCACAACAAAATGTTTGCGACTACAAACGAATCCGGATACGTGTGGACGGGGCCTTACTACTTACCATAAACATATCCAGGTATATTAACAGAGAACTTAGCTCCAAGTCTTCGTTATACGCGTTTTTCAAAGGAACACTCCTATAACCTAAAATAAGGAAAAAATATGAACTATGCAGTTGCCATGCATCTAGTTTAGATCGATCTCGAATCGGTCTCGGCTATTTGTCCACACTTGGTCCGGTACGACTCTGAATCGATTACGAATCGATCTAAATCGCCTTAATATTAATATTTTCTCCTTCGAATTCCGATAACTGTTAGCATAGTGACCACCATTTGTTGCACGAAAGTGCCTATAGTAAAACTCACCTATAGACACAAAGTTGGCTAAGGGTTTAAGTATATGCTACCCTGCATTCTACCCAATTCATAACCATGCACGCGCTCAGCTACTGCAGCTGTTCCAGTTTAGGTAAGTTAACGAAGCATTAAAAATATGTATGCGAGTTACTCACTCATACTGCGAAATTTTTATGTCTCGAGAGGTGCTAATTTCTGGCTTAGCAGCCTGGGATTTTCTCCCCGCTTATTAGCAGTGGTTAATTGAACAATGCAAACGGCCCCTAATTCTATTCATTATATATAGTAGTCTTGTATTTGGTGGCAAAATAAAACTTGTCACATAAAAACTTGTCACAGGAAACTTGCTCGTCTGTAACCGGTTTTAACATTCCTAAGTTTATACCACCACCTGCCCGCCGTGACATTACAACGTTTACTGCAACCGGGCAATAATCGCGGTGAACTCTCGACTTAACTAATCGTGCATCGTAACCTACCCATTCTAAGACTTTCAAACGGAAAGACAGCCTGAGCAACAAAGTTAGGATCACCAAACATATCCTCATCGTAGACAGCAAACCTGATGTACGCCATGGGAGGACATATGACGTCGAATTCGATTGTAGTGTCGTATACCGGATTCAAACCATTGTCCGCTGGAAACATAGAAATAATCACTTTGATCAATGAATGTTTATGGTCTAGTGGTTGGTGTAAGGGCCTTTCATATCTGTGGAATCCGGGGTTTGATTCATGCAATATGCCGTTGTCTGATGACAATATTACCTCAGTCAAATGTGAGAAGATTTTTGATTCTATACAAAACACCTTCTGTTCTGGTAGTAGTACAGTTTCTACTTCTAGTACAGTTACTACAAATCTGGACCAAAAGGTTAAGCATGGCTTGATCTCTAGAACATTTGAGAAGCGGCTAGCAAGTACCATCCCTTCTTGACCCAGTGTTACTGCAGGAGGAAACAGTTTACTGACATTATTTTTACTGGGTATCTATCAATTTTAAACTGTTCTCCTCAGAGGTCCAGTACCCTTTATTTATCCAGGAGAAAACCTAAACTAAACTAGAGTTTCCAGTAAAAAATATAGTTGGTAAAGATTTCCTCTTGTATTATAACACTGGACCAGATAGTCGTGGTCCTTACTGCTCTCTAGAGAGAACAGTTTAGAATTGATAGACCTATCCAGTATGAATAAAGTTAGTTTAGTTCAGGTTTCCTCCTGGGCGAATAAGCTAGTGATGGACTTTACTGGGCCTCTAGTAAGAATAGTTTAGAACTGATAGAATTACCAAGTGTATTTAAAGTTAGTTCAGCCAGCAACGCTCACCTTGCGTTTCAGTTTTGAATTTTTGTACGTCGTAACACGCTCCAATTATTTCAACTTCTACAAACGGCGACGTAATCCCTCGGGCAATCTTCGGGAGATGGCGAGCAGCGATGATCTAAATGAAGTTTAGAACTGATAGAACTATCCGTATTAATAAAGTTAGTTTAGTTTAGATTTCCTCCAGTAGTAACGGTGGATCAATCCGGAATTTTCAGAATCTATAGTAACTCGTTGATAAGCAATTTACTAGCATATATATGTAGAAAATATAAAAAAATAAACCCAAAAATACTTACTGTTAGGTTCACAGTTACAGGCCGAACGCCTTCCAGCATATTAGTGTTATAAGGATCGAAATTTTCTAATCTTGTACACGGAGGCTTCAAGATATAACCACATCTGAAAATCATAGATTGAATGAATGATATAGAGAAAACGTAAATGTAACAATTTCGATTGCCAAGAGCACTTTTACTTTAAATAATAACAGCTTTTTTATCAATGGACTTTAATATACGGTGATACACTGCAAACATTTTAAACTACTGTATAGGAGATAAGTAAACAATGTCACCTATATGGTCTATGCTTGTCCAGCTTATTTTTGTCTTTTACCACAGGGCTGGATCATCAGAGTTTGTGCAAAACATGAAGGGTGAGTCATTGATTATTAAGCCTTTTACATGGGGTGGGGGGTCTTGGATAAATAGGTATTTCAAAAGTTGATTTCCTCAGCCCACCACTTCTGTACTTTATGACTGGTCCCTTACCCTCCATTATCCATAAAACGGCCATGATTGAGTTGCATGGATCGATCTAAAATATAACGAATAATAGTCGATTTAACAGAAATGTTGAGAACAGGTTTTTTTCCTTCTCATTTTACTCAAGCCCCCATACCGACGACCATCACGTTTTCCTTGACAAGCTTCCACGATCAGGGCCGCGCCGTAGGAAGATGATTAAAGTTAGGGGGGCTGAACGGTGGGCGCGAACCGCCTCTAGGGGGGCCCAGGGGGCCAGGGGCATGCCCCCCGGGAAAATTTTTGATTTTCAACTCTCTGAAACACGTTTTCCTGCATTCAGGAGTTAGATTTGGGATAGAGCTGGGGCAAAGAAAGATTCAATCTTCCTCTGCGCCATACATCTCTGTGCCATGTGTATAAAACGTGTCAGTGCAACTGTGCATTCACTTCGAGATTCACTTAGAAATTAGAATTTTTAGGGGGGCTCAGCCCTCTGTTTCTAAAAGTTAGGGGGACTCAAGCCTCCCCCTGCCCCCGTGGTTCCTACGGCCATGTCCTCGATAAATTTATTTTCTTGTGTGCACGGTCAACAAGTTTTCCTTGCCAAATTTTCCGTGACAAATTTTGTTGCTCGTGTGCACGAAATGTTGTTGAACATTTATCTCACGTCAAGAACGCCTTTTGTTCACCAAAACCATAGAAGTATTTCTTGTACGCTTGGCAAATTTCTCTTGTTAGTCGTACACACAAACACATTTTCCGTGCCCAAAAGCGGACATGACTACTAGCCTTGGGGTAAAGCTCTTTGGCAAAGAAAAATTGTCAATTTTTTTCCATACACACGCAAGCAAGTAAAACTTGCCAAGGAAACTTGCTCGCCTTTATGAGGCTTCATACTCATCGGTTGCATGGGAGAAAAGTGAAAAACACTAATTTAAAAACTTTTTTCTCCGAATTAAATCCACCAGCTTCCTCCTGTAGTAAGAGTGAACGAATCAGAGATGACCCTTACTATAGGCCTTTAAACAGAACAGTTTAAAACTGCATGATATTGCTATCCAATATAAATATTAAGTAAGTTTAGTTTAGGTTTCTTCCTGTAGTAACAATGGAGGCAAAAAAGTGATCTTTACTTGACCTCTAAGAAGAACAGTTTAGAAGTAATAGAACTAACTAACTTAATTTGCTGGATAGGTCTGTAAGCTTTGAACTATTATCTGTAGAGATCCAGTTCTAGTAAGGTCATTCATTTTAGCCAAGTATCACTACAGGAAGAAACTGAAGTATAGCAAAGAAAACCTGTGGTGTTTAGAAGAGTTAAACCAGAGGGCCCTCTTCCCGCACAAAACTGCGGCGAAATTATAATCACACAACGACGTGGAAATGGCATCAAAATGGCGAGGCATATCCATACATGGGCACAACACGCCATTTTCACGTCGTCTTTGACGTCCGCGTCCTCGATCTAAATCTGTCTATTGCAGGAATCAAACTCCGGGAGGAAACACACATGCTCTAACCGCTGTACCATCACACTCAGCCCTGTGTCCCAACCCCAGTATACCTGACGTTTGGTAATTCAGCGCGCACATTTGCACTCCACAATTCCACATCATCGTCGGATCATAATTCGTTGAATCTACTCGTGTGCCCTTGGGGTACACTCGCGTCAGCTGATTGTGGTTATACAGATTAAAACGAGCACTGTTCTTTAGATTTGTATATTTGTCAATCTTTGATTCCGATATTGACGACATTTCGTAGTGTTTCCCCGTGCCAATTCCTGCGTGAAAAATACAATATAAATAACACTGTTAGTCGTAACGAAGGGCCACTACCTACATTGCCACAGATCGTTCAGTATTAAATAAGGCCCGTTTACATTAGCAATTTTTGCGATTTTCTTCTCCTGACGCATGTGAACGAGTATAGATGA